GAGCGTGGTGCTAACAATGCCAAGGACACGGGTTCAATTCCCATTCGGTCCCCATGTGTTGCCTGATGTAGTCGAGAGGTGGCGTCCCTGGTGGCAGGGAGGTTGGATTAAAATGATCTCTAAGGTCCCTTCCAGCCTAGGCCATTCTATGATTCTATGATTTTGTCTGAATACATGCAGAAGTCTTGTAACTTCAAACCTAGCTGCTTCAGTACAAGGTGCATCTCTCTGTAGGAGGAATTTTGGAAGTGTTACTAGGGTTTTAAATGGTAGGGGTAACAAAGAGCTCACTCGAACCCGGAGTGATTTACCCATTGACATTTCTCTTTTATGTGCGAAGGACAGGTAACAGCTTTGGAACAGTAGGAGGTGAATTTGAGGCTTTTAAATGAGAGAGTGCCCTGTGTGAGTGAAGGAAGAAGTTTGGGCGTTTTTTTGTTTGATTTTTTTTTTATCCTGTGAAAAGCTAACACTGTTTATTAATAAAAATATTAATAAAATACTTAAAGAGCTTGGGTCTTGATGAGGGAGCTGGACCTGATGCAAATCTTCCAAGTACTTAGAGATAACGGGGTTGGTAACACATGTCTGTTAGGTAGCACTGGAGTTGTAGTGAGCAAACTTTTCACAGCATTAAGGCTTGTTCCTCACTGTTGGAGAGCTGACCACATTTTAGTTGAGAAGACACAACTATAATCAACGCTTTTGAAGCGTTTAGAGTAGGTGATTATTATGACTTCTAAAATTAATTTGTTGGAGGAGGGCAGTGGGGAAAGTACTACTGCTTGGGAGAATGTCGATTCTTCTCGGATTCAGGCCGAGTAGGGGAGAGCAGGGTTTACCTCTAACGAGCTTTGCACCTCTCTGTTCATGGCAACGTAAATGATGGAGAGAGCATCCAAATGTAGTTGAAGGGAGAATCAGCAAAGTGAACCAACTTGGTGAATGTCACATCTGTTTGACTTGTTCAGTCACATGGAGATCCTCAGCCAGATCTGCCCCTGGATGAACCTGACTCCTGCTCCTTATGAACAAGGAGTTTGTTGTCCATATTATATTTTTCCAGGCTTCTAACTGCGAAGCACAGAAAGCTTGGTCTCCCTGCACCTCTTTGCTTTTATTGGGAGTAGAGCTGCCTTGAAACCACTAGCTGCTGTTTTCAACGGTGTGTTCTTATAAAATGAATGTGTAAGTTGTAGTCTGAGATTGCAGTGTTGTAAATGCACCGTGCAGCTTCTTATTTTGGAAGATGTGAATCTATAAATTTTCATTTTTATAGCAGCTGTCATAAAAGTAGCAGATTCTGAGTGATTGAAGATACAACAGCTTCATTTGTGTCCTCTAAAATCTTGGGAAAGGATGCACTTTCTGTACCAAACCACAAAGGTGTGAAAAGGTTACTTGCCCTTTTTGTTTCACGTGACTTCTCACACCTTCCTGCAATAGCAGTTCTTCCTACTTGTCATCAGTAGCTTAATGAGGGAGTATACAGGCTGAATTCTATTCTTTTTCGTTGAAGCCAGGAAATAATATTGTATAGCAGATCAAAATTATTGAATGGCCATATGATTGCTGTAAACATCTACATTACATCACTGGTTCTGTCAGTTCCCCAGGTTATTTTTTTGTTCACTTGAATAGCATTTAGATTTTTTTCAGCGGGATACAACATTGGTTTAAAAATTGCATGACACCTCCGTTGAAAGAAAGGTGTGAATTGGCTTTGTCTGTAGTAAAATGAATTTTAGCGTTTTCAGATACTGTGGATCAGATAGTAGGAGAGAATCTACTGTGTAAGTAAGCGTGTTCTAGTAGAGATGTCTTCTACTACTAATCCTCTTTCTTCTGTTCCTCAGGCTCTTTTTTTCTTTATTTCTTAAGTGAGCTTCATGATAGTAATGCAGATTTTGTGCCTTTTTCTTCTTCCCTTCTAGAAAACTTGCTGTGTCTTTCTAAATCTGGGAGGAATTTAGCTGGGAGAGGCTTTGTGTAACAACATTGAGGAGTGAAATAGTGGTGACATGTTTTCCTCTGAAATGGTAACTGGATTCTTAAGTTTATAGGTTGTACCAGACGTAGACCAGACTGGCAGAGGGATCTGGTGGAACTGGAGGAGAGTGGAGAGTATAAAATGCCATAAAAATCTTACATGAAATATTGATATGGGAAACAGATGTCGGGAGAGCATATGTTGTGGGGGAAGCAGAGAGATTTAGCTGGGGTTTTGGAGGGGCACAATTTTTTTGTTTGTATGTTTTTACCCTTTGAATATTTAGGAGGGTGGGTACACGTACAGGTAGCTTACCTTTTTTGGTACTGTAGCACTTGCTCTGACCAGTATTCATTTATTTCCCTGTCTCTGCCCTTTCTTCCTTCCTTTTCTTCTCCACGATGTTGTGGTGGTTTGGCCCTGACTGGAGGCCAGGAGCTCACCAAAGCCACTCTGTCACTCCTCTTTTTTCAGACGGACAGTGGAGAGGGAAGATGTAACAAGAGGCCCATGGGTCAAGATAAAAAGCAGTTTAATGTAGCAATCGCAAATGCTGCACGCGGAAGCAAAGCAAAACAAAGATTGTTCTCTACTTCCCATCAGCGGGCAACGTCCGGCCGCTTTCCCAGGAAGCAGGGCTCCAGTACAACATAGCGGTTGCTCCAGGGGACAAACACAAACAGCAAATGCTCCCCCACTTCCCTCTTCCTTCTCACTTTTATATCTGAGCTGACGTCATATGGTACGGAATAGCCCTTTGGTCAGTTTGGGTCAGCTGGCCCAGCTGTATCCCCTCCCAAGATGTTGCCCGCCCCCAGCCTACTGTTGGGGGAACGTTGGAAAACCACAGCCTTGGTGCTGTGTGAGCCCTGCTCAGCAGTAGCCAAATCACTGGGGTGCTATCAACACCCTTCTAGCTACCACTCCAAAAAACACATCACTGAGAGAGCTGCTGTGGGAGAATTAACTCCACCTCAGCCTGACCCAATACAGATGTCAATGGAGAGGTGCTCTCAACCATCGAGCTTCTTTTCAGAGAAGTGTTTGGTTTTGTGGGTGGTGGGGTTTGTTGTTCGTTTTTCTGCGTGTAACCCCTGAACAGGGTATAGAGTCCTCCAACACCCTATAGCCCCACCTGTGAATCGTGGCATTTTGTCCCACAATTTACTGGTGCCTCCACCAGGGGCTCCCTTTTGTTATCCTCTCTCTTGGTCATAGAAATTGGATATTTTGTGGTCTGAAATTTTATTCGTGGTTGATGCTACCTTCTGACTTTAACAACTAAGTGGCGTAATTTTTGCTTCAATATGAACACTGTGGAGCTATCTCTTCCATGCTTACACCTATATTATTGGCTGTATTGCATGATAATTTGCAACTTAGTGTCTTAAAAAACAGAAATTTGACTTAGAGCAAATTTGAGAAACCAGAACAAGGGAGGTAGTTATGGACCTAGACTCAAATGAACTGTGGCAGAACAACTTGGAAATGGTTTTATTAATTTTTATGCATCTTTCCATTTCTGCATGTTTATAGTTGTTTACTTCTCTATGTAATACAAGTACAGTATTATTTAGATGTTAGAGTATCTGGAATATGTACCATACAGTCAGATAAATAGGTGGATGCTCTATCATAGCACTGGAAATCCTAGTATTCTTGAGAGTTGTGTTATTTATTAGTCTTTTCCATTAAGTGAGAAGAATCTGTCCCGTATCTGTATCACTGATAGCAAGCCACTGGCATTAGTGGGTCTGGGTTAGGGAGGCGTTTGGGCCACTCTGGATGGCAATGAGCTACCATGCTCTGTAGGATACATCTGGCATCATACACCAAAGATGTTTGTAGTTATTTTCTAAATACTGTCAGTGCTAAAGACAAATCCAGATATGAGAGGTGGAAATCCTCGTTCTGCTGAGAGGCTCTCTTTAGTACCAAAATTTCACTCCCAATTCCTCACTTCCTAATTCAAGAGTCGCCTAATAGTCTGTTGATGCAGTTTAATATTTCAGACCTTTATGACTGTTAAGAGTTGGATTGGACCTCTGAAACCCTTTTATTCATGTGTAGCAGCACATCAACCATTTATACTAGTCTAGATCATTGCCATTAATACTATTTTTAAGAACATATGGTTTGGATATGTTAAACTTCACAAATCTGGGCTTCTGACCAGTAATGTTCTTCTTCACTATACGGCTCTTTTTTGCTATAAATGCCTCTCAGGTTAGAAAGTAATCCAAGGAATGGAATTGTATTAGAATAGTAGGGTGTTTTTGTCTTTAAAAAATAAAACATTGGAGCTAATTCTGTCAGGTTATGTGAAATTAGCCATCACAGTTCATTAGTGCTACCAAACCTTATTTTTAGCTTTTCCATAGAGTGAAGAAATGAATGTATCCATCTGGGCTATAGAAAGAAGAAGCTTCCTCTAAATGTGTTTTTGCTTCCAAGGCAAAAAATCTTGTCTCAGTGGGACAAGTGAAGCCTGCCCATGCTGTTGGCAGGATTTTAAAAGAAAATGTTGCTGATGAAGCTAGAAATCTCTGTGGATTACTGTAAAACTTCCACTGTAATGTAAAAGGGAATCTCTCTCACAAGACTGACCAAACTAAAAATTAAAAAGTGACCTCTTAAAGAATGAAGAGATCCTTTTCTATACCTTTCTATACTAAATTCTGCTTGTGCTTATAAAACTTTGTTTAAGTCAATGCCCTGCGGGCTACTACTTTGTCCCCACTGCATTGAAAAAAAGGAAACTGGAGGCAGAAAGGAGACAAAGCGACAGTAAGGAAAGAAGAGAAGCTGGAGGAGGAGCTTGCGTCACCTCATGTGAAATAGATGAAATGTTGCAGTGTTTTAGCTTTCAGAAAGCTGTATTTCAAACACTATCTGCTTCACCTCAAAGCTAAGTGGAGCACTCAACCAGATCATAAAAATAGCTGATGAGTAAGAAAGGTGATGGGAAAAGTGCATCATTTTCTTCCAACCCCATCCCTTGTACTTGCATTTAAACCCCATGCAGAGGGTTTGTTACTCTGCCAAGGAAAAGCATTGCCCTTGACTTCTCTTCAAAAACAGCTAGGAGGAATGGCCTGTTCACTTTTAGATCCAGGAACACCACATCTTTCTTCTGTGCTGCAGGGTCTTCTGGCTGAGCTGTTCCATCACTGGTCAGTTTGAAAAAGGCTTTATTTATTACCTGTAAGGCAAAACATAGAAGGAACTCTGAAATCATCGGAGCATGATATTGAAGAGACAAATGCAAGTTTGTGTAGATGACAAAAGTACATGAAGTAGAAAGACCATCTTTAACCAGCACAGGATAGACTCCATGGATGTTTAAATAAGACTTGTTCTATAACATATGAAAAAGCTGTACAGCTGCTTGTACACTTGGGCTGTATGAAATTCTGGTACTCCTGACAGAACTTCCAAGGTGGTGCCTGCAGGTGTCTGAGCTGGAGGTGGTACTGGATGCAGTCTAATTTGTACAAAGAGCACCTAGCACACTAGGATCTCAAACTTTGGCCCTGTGTTGCATGTTGTGTTTGCTGCAGTGATGAAGTCTGAATAGTTTAAGGCAAGCCTGTTGCTGCTAATAGGCTTATCTAAGAAATATTCATTGTTCAGTCATCTCAGAAGTCCCCTACTGAGCATGTGTCCCACATGGTTGACTCATTTGTTCTAAGTAAATTTATACAATTCAAAAGGCTGAAACTGAGCAGGAAGCATTTTTTTAAATGCCAGTGGTAAGTACTGTACCTTTCCAACTGTTAGATTGGTATCACTTATTTTACTGAGATCTGCCCCTTTCCCCAGCAGTGCAGGCAGTTCCATATCTGCAAGAATCTCCTGTAGGTTTGAGATTCCCTCTATCGTTAACTCCGGCAGCGTTAATTTTATTTCTCTGCAGAAGAGAGAGAGAGACAAGTGAGTGCGTGCTCTCCACTGTGAAAAGATGGTGACTGGGCAGTCCCAGGGAACAGGCAGGTGAAAACAGCCACAAGCAGCGCTTGGTACCTGGGGACAGCTACTAAGGGGTGAGGGTCCCCAAGCCCTACCTTGGGGACAGCTGCTGAAGCCAGGCTGAGGACTGCAGTGGCAGCTCGGACTCCATATGTTCCAGGTCGCTGCCGTTGATGGGCTGCAGCAGCACCAGCAGTGCCGTCTTGCTGATGGGGACTTCCACCACAGAAAACGTCCCACTGGCATCAGTTTTGTACTTGAATGTGCCGGAGACTGACAACATGGGGACCAAGACCTTCGTCTTCGAATCCACCCAAAACTCCTGAGGCTCTTTGAGCTGGGAAGCTTCCTTAACATTCACTGAAAAACAGTTTGAGAAAAAAGTTGACTCTCCTCTTTCTTCCCTCTGCCGGTATGTATTGTTTGAAAACAACACACTGCGCATTAGACAAGGGCCACATGTATAAAATCCTGCCTCTAATGTGCCTTCTGGTAGCATCAGGCAGATGCTGATGCAGGCTCCAGTATGGGGACTGTGACCACCCAGACTGTGGCCAAAGCTGTTCTATGGACTTTATGGCCTTTCCTGGGTACAGTATTTCTGCCTCACTTGGTTGCCTGCTTCCTCATGGGATGCCAGTTCACCCTCAGGCCTGTGCAGAGGGTCTGCTTGGCTTTGCTCTCCATCCCTTGGGCTGTGATGATGGCATGTGTGGGAGCAGGCCCAGCCCTTGCTGCAGGAGCAATTTCAGGCAGCTGGGTCGGCGCAGGAGAGGGAAGGCAGCACAACCTCTGGCTGAGGTCTCACCCTTGGTGATCTTGCGAACCAAAGCCTGGGGAATCATAGAATCATAGAATGTTAGGGGCTGGAAGGGACCTCTAGAGATCATCTAGTCCAACCCACCTGCCAGAGCAGGATCACCTAGGGCAGCCACACAGAAACACATAACACTGAAGTGTTGACTGAGCCAAGGAGGTTGAAAAGGACATACCCAAGCACTTGCTAAACCTTAATATAAATTTCTTGCACAGCTAACAAATGTGGGAAGCCTTGCTCTCACCTCCTGTTGCTTTTGTGCAGCATTGTGTTTCAACATGTTATCTGCCCACTGTCGCAGATCGGTGCAGCTGCCCAGTTAGGCAAATAATCCTGCTGGCAGTGAGGAAACTACCGCTGGCAGTGAGGAAACTACCACTGTCAGTGAGAAGGTCAAAGATCAGAAATCTCAAAATTGCTGTTTGGTTAAATTAGGGAATTAAGAAAATAGATGTATATGTTGTGATAAAGAAAGGAACTCCTTGCATTAAAGTAATTAATATTGGCATAAAATAGGAGTTGGTCTAGCTACACTATTAATAAGCCTATTCAATAAATTCAGATAAATGTTGGATCCTAATATATTTGATATACAGTAAGTCGTTTTGCATAGGAACATTTGCCTCATAAATGAGCTTGCATTAAAAAAAAATTAAGTTCTTTCACCACTATTAACTTTACAAAGAAAAAAAGCAGGAGATGTGAAAGGTGCGAGCAAGACAAAAAATAAGGAAGTAGAGTTGTTCACCTTTTCTTCTTGGTTTTTAAAGAAGAAGGGATGCAAACAGAAAGAAGCCGCTTTCACAGGCAGGCTCTGTATAGCCTGCAGAGTTTATTCTCACAGGACAGCAAAAGTCAAGACTGTAACAGTTAATTAAAAGGAAACAAAGAACTGAGCATTCAGATAGCTAAGTCAAGGTAGGATTGTAATTGTTTTCAATCTTGGGAAAAATACTGCAAAATTTCAAAGCTCTGCTATTGACTTTGGGACTGAGTCCATTAATATTGTACCAGTTGTGAATCAGGACAAATGAGCACTCCTCTGTTTAAATGGGCTCCTTGTGGCCTTCTGCTGAGCGACGATCTGGACATCTGAGCCCTCAAATGTGTAGCTATGTGTATACTCCCCTGAAAATGCTCTAGAAGATGTTAACGGTCTTACTATGGCTATTTGTTTCTTACAGCATGTTTTTTAGGACACGGGAGAGATGTATTTACTAAAGAAACCCTACTTTTTGCCTCAGGCACCTGGAATGTAATATGAGGAAAACCGAAGAAAGAGCAACATCCCTTCTCTAGAAGGCAGATTGAAAGACCTGGTTTCTTACAGTTCGATCTCTCCTATCAGGACACTGAACCTGTAGGACTGGACAAGCTTTCAGCAGCCACATCAGATCAGGGAAGAAACCTGTGTCTACAATACAGGGAAGATGGCTGAAATGAAAAAGGCTGTCGGGAGCAAAGACGTAGCCTGTGAGAGTAAAGGATTACACTGCAGTGCTGGCTTGGGAGTACAGGAAAGAAACGTCGGACCTTTCCTCAGGTGCTGATCTCCGTGTTCTATAATATCAGCTTTATTCCAGTCTGACAAGCTTATTGAGAGAATGACTTTTAGTTACTTCGCAGTCAGAAATGCTGCACAACCCTCTCTTATTCACCTTCCCACACTTTTCCTAATCCTTAGCTTCCTGGACAAGGAAAATTTCTTGGAGGCCATCTCTCTCCACCTCCTCCCCATTGCCCTTACTGACTCATGGCAGAGTGCAGGCGGGACCCCCAGCACAGCGGTGGGGAGCGAGGCACCGTACGCAGAACAATGGTCCAAGCTTTTATCTGAGCCCCTCCCTCTCCCTGCTGGCCAGATGTGAACCTGCCTTCTTCCCCAGAGTGGGTCTGCTGCTCACCCTTCACCCAGCCTGCCCCCAAAACAACCAATGCCACCTCGTACCTGCCAAGCGAACATCCACTGCAAACAGCAGGTCGGCAGAAGGATCAATGTCTGTCAGTAAGCACTTGCTCTGGCTCCCGCTTTTGGCCTCCAGGAAGGCGTTTATTTGCTTTGCTGCCTCGTTTGGATTTGTAAAGTCAACAGCTCTAGCGTAGAGAGCATCAGCGGAGGTGAGCAAGTCCTGCATGAACAGCTGGGAGAGAGGTACCCCAGGGGCAGAGAACAGGCAGAGCGTCTTGGAAAAGAGCAGCTCCTCATCCCTGCTCTTGACAAGGCTTTCAATCATCCTCAGGCTGGAAAGGACTTTGTGTCCATCCACCCTGGAGGTGCAGTCAGGGTCTCCAGAGGGGGGAACAAATCCCAGCAAACGCTGCAGATCGGCTGCTGTCTGGTTTGAGGCACCCAAGTAGAAAGACACCAAGGAGCTGTAAAGACTGACTGGGGACAGGAGAACATTTTGGTTCTGCCGTGCTTTCCGCAGCACACTGTAAAACCGTGCAGCCAGGACAGACACAAAGTCCTTCAAGAAGCTCAGTTTCTGCCTCTCTCGGCTACTCAGGCTTGGGGCTTCCAGCTTGTCCTTGTCATTCAGGTCATCTTCATAGGCAGGAGTGGTTTGGGACTCGATGGAGATGGGGAGAAAAGTTTTCTTTCCCTCTTGGACCAGGTTTTCCAGCTCCTCACAAGTACTCTTGTTGAAAGAAAACAAATTGAAAGGGTGGACGTAGACCCTATCACAAGACACTGTGGTGAGGCACGCCAGCAAGCACAGAAGACCTGCTACCAGCTTCATAATGAAAAATTGATCCCACGGTGTCTGCTGAAAAAGAAGTGGGCAGGAGAGAAGGATCAGCTTGTAAATACTGTTTCTCTTACTTACGGGGTGAAGTAGTAGTGCTGCACTGGAGTTACAAAGCAGGAATTTCAGTATTTAGTGCTGGCTGGTCTGACTCTGCCCTGTGAAAAACCCAGGGTGAGATGGACACCAGTTTCAATGGCAGCACTGGGGAAATGCTAAGCACAGATTTGGCTCATTTACCCACACAGTACCCTAACAATGTAGCACAGGAAGCAATATGGTTGTGCATGCCAACTAGTTAGGCTTGCAAACTAGAGCATGCTAATTTTGGCAAAACATTATAATAATGCAACTATATTGCTTCTGGGACCTGGTCAGAGCTATTTCTGCAAACTGCTGCACTAAATCTTGCTGCCCCAGGGATGGGCTAAATGATTTGCCTGCTGTGATGCAGGAAGTGGGTTTGGAAACCAGGTCTCTTAAGATCCAACCACTGAACAATTCTACTTTGTATGTCTAGTCGGCACAATGCTTGGCACTAGCAGAGCATTTTGTGTTTTCATAGCCCAGCGCAAACATCCATTCTAGCTTCTAGGCAAACACACTCAAGGCTTCTTTATACAAATATGCTAACACTGAAACCATTTTCCTAGCACCTTTTTATCTGAATACAGAGTTAGAAAGGGTAAACTGAGTTTTACTTTACTGTATGGGCAGTTTTCTCCTGTGGTAAAAGACTGCCTGTTGCTCTTGTTTTTCCTGATAAGCTCTTGTTTTAGAGAATTTTACTGGGTATTGATGTCACTGGTGTTTTAGCACAAAGCTTCTGGTGCATATTGGGAATGAGAAAGTCATGGGCATACGTACACACACAAAAATACGTACATGCAGGTGTGCAAACATACTGACAAATTTTGCATTTTTCTAATTCTCACTTTTCCTATATCCAATTTTTTTATAACTAATAGCTCTGTTGTACCTTCCCTGGATTTCTAGTACATGATTGAATTTCCGTATTTGAAAATCCAAATGCATTGGAACTTATGCATCTGTAACAGTTATCATTGGCCAAAACACTGTTACTCAGAGCTGTAGTTTTATTCTACTAGTTATTTTTTGTTTATTGTAGATCTGTTAACCCTCTTTTTCCCTTTCCAAGCTCTGCAGATCTCATTGGATGGGCAAAATGCTAACAGCCTTACCAGAAACCAAGCTCTGCTCTGTGCCTTCTTTCTCCAAGATTTTTCTGAGTCATTCCAGACTGTCAGGTACTGTAATTCTGGCAGCCTGAGCCTTTTGAGAGGACACAGTGCAATGTCTATCTCACAAACACTTTAATTTACATAGAGTGGAAGTGTCTGGGTTTAAATCCAACCTCCCAGCCTACTTTACAACATGTAACCCAGGTGTTTCATGGTCAGTAACACTCTGCTTTGCAGTATCATCACTCTCTTTTCAAATAAAAAAACTGAGATGTGCAGATGCTTGGTAATTAGACATACCATGCTAAATACACATGCCTGCTAACATGCACATCTACACTCCCAGGCTGCAGGCTCCTATCTAACAGCTTGGCTTGCAAACGGAGTTCGTGCTGTTGTGATGGTCCCTCAGGATGTCTGAGCATATTCCTAGCAGGTGCCTGCAGACCAGGCCTGAAAATATTGGCTTCCCAGGGAAATGCAGCAGAGGACCTGCTGTAGATCTCCAGCCCTCTGCCTTCATCCAAGGATTGCTCTTCCCCATTAACTCCCATCCTATCCTTTAAATTAGCATGTAGGCAGCACTAATTGGTGCTGCTGTCCCCTCTGCTCCCTGCCCCATCTTCACCTCTGGCCCCTCTGGCAGCAGGTGACATGCATCACAGAGCTTCTTCATTCCTTATGATCAGTCAAAAAATTATCTAGGGAGGTGCTTTCTCAACTTCATCTTCACAGCTAGCTCAGCCACTGTGCTAGCACATTTCTTTTGCTGCATTTTCCAGATTCGGATAGTTTGGGAAAATAAACCAAAAAAAGCCACACATAAGAGGTACTGCCTTTCCCACCCTGGTTTCTCCATCATACAGTTCTTTTGACACATTTATTAATTTTTCCCGTAGTAGCAGGGAGGGTAACTCTGAGCTATCTAGTCAGGCTGTGCTATTTGGCACTGCTGGTACTCAGTCGTTGCATGTCTGTTGCTGCCAGAGCCACCATGTCAGCTCTTTTCTCATTCACAGAAGCAAGAGGAGCAGCTCTCACTACCAGCGCTTAGGCTAAGACCCATCTGCTTAAAGCCAGCACATCCAATTTCCCTAAAGAAACCAGCCCCGAGCTTTTCAGAAAAGCATGAAAACCTGAGCTGAAAAAACAGCATCCAAAGCAAATCCAGTGAGTGTGCTTACTCGCCTCAGTCCTAGCGTGTGCCACTCCTCCGAGGCTGTATCCCCTCCGGCAGACACCTCTTCTCTGTGGAGTGGCCACCTGATTGCAGGTGGATTTATGTCCTTCCCACAGGAGGGCCCTTTCTGCATGCCTGCAGTAGCATTGCGCAAAGCTACTTTACATTACGTACTTGGAGGGGGGGCTGAAAAGAGTTAGCTCAGGGCAGACAGGACTTGATAAAACCTGAGCACGGCTTAACACCAGCTGCATAGAAAGTTCCAGGGATGGATACACAACCTTTAACCGGACCCAGCATGTCTGCATAGCCTGCAGTTACACATTTACTAAGACAGACACAAGTGTTTTACTATGCAGAAGAACCAATTCTAGGAGCTGAAAATTACTCCATTTGTTTTGTGCTAAACTGAAAGGAATACAGACTTATTTGTATCTGCATCTGTTGTACAGTCAGACCAGATATTTTTCTTATTGGATAAATTGCCTTTAATCTCTACTTTGCAGCCTGGGTACCCATCAGTGAGTGGGACGTGCGCTACTGCAGAGTAAAGTTACAAACTCTTAATTTTTAGCCTTTCTTTCTCTTGATCTACCCAGAAGTTCATAAATTTGTCCTTCTTCCTCCTCAAAACAAGAAGTGGTGAAAAAGAGAGGAAAAAGATAAATGGATGAGGTTGCCAGAGCCAGATCACAGAGGTTTCATCCTTCCTGGTCTCAGTTTCCCAAGCCCTGCTTGGCAAAAGCAGGGGCATTTGGAAACCTTTCTGCTGTTTTGGAAACAATCTTCCAGTTTTGGTGTGTCCCTTCTTCCTCTTTAAGCAAATAGACAGTGAATCAAACCGGGGATGATGCAGCTGGGTTAGACTGATTCAGTGTCCCTGCTATAGTTAGTAATTAAAACCCCATGGTTCTAATGGAGCTAGGGCTGATTTAACATCTATGTCCTGCTTTTAAAGGGCCACTCAGGTGTGGTTTGTACTGCAGTGCCCAGCTACATGTTGGGTTCGAGGAGAGAAGCAAGAGAGAGGGATGTTTGCAGTGCAGTCAGAGCTGGGGGAGCTGAAGGTGGAGACCGAGACAGCCGCGTCCTGCCAGTCCGAGCACTGTGTGCCGGGTGTGTAACACCAAGAGGGTGGGAAATTTCTGGTTTTGCAGCTCTGCTGTTCATCTGAAGGGTTTGATTGCCTTGGCTCTAACAAAGTCTGAAAGCAGTTCTGAGCACAGGCCCGCATGACATGCTATCACGCCCACAAGGCTTAAACAGCCTGAAATATTCAAGGTGTTTTGTCCCCTTGGTGCTGGAGCATCTCAGTTGAGGAAGCATCTGGCAACGGAACAGTCCCTGAGCATTTGTACCATCTCCAGACAGCTATAAAATGCAGGCAGACCAGCCACGGAGCCAGGCAACAGGAGAAGTAGCTTCTCCATTAAAAATGCATTTTGTTCAGCTAAATGCTAAGAGAACAAGCTAAGTTTGAGATTGCAATCCCCCTTCTTTTCCTCGCAGAGTCCTTTCAGCAGACAGGCTAGAGGAGAAAGCTGGTCCCTCAGAGGCCAGTGGAGGTGTGGGTGGGATGTGTGACAGCATGGCCCAAATTTGTGTCTCCTGCACTGCCTCCACGCAGGTCCACATGAGGCATCAGGCACCAGCAATGTGCATGAGTGCCTGTGAGCTAGAGCTGCTCTGCTACGTCCTTCTAGGGAAGGCTTGGGAAAAAGGAAACCCAGCCTGGTATTCTCAGTACTGAGGACACAGAAACCAAAGCTGTTTCAGTGAAGGATACCCTCTATTCTGTGAAACTCTGAAAAATACCCTTATTAACAAGAATTATTGACTTTGGCTAACAAGATGCAAGTGATGCTAATAATGTATACTAAAGCTGCCAGATCTGTTTACTATGAATAATAAGCAGTATTTATTTCTTTCCTTAAATCATTACGTCTCTGTGCGGAAGCACCCAGAGGGTATTGCTGTTTGGATATCTCCTGCTTCCAGCTCCCATGAGGGCCATCACCAGGTCATGCCGCAGCTTGTGGTCTCCTCTTCCTATAGGAATCAGCCTCAAGTCAGGCATCCCTGGCCGCAGGATCAGGAGGCACCTGAACGATAACTCTAATGTGATGCTCTGGTGGCTCTGTCACATAAAGAAAGTTCAGATTTTAGTTGTAAGTTCTCAGGACTTTCAGCCAAGTTGACCTTTGGGGCTCTTATGGTGTTTGTACACTCAGTTCTATTGTTTTCTGTCAACAAAAAATTGTCAAGGTCTTTGAGGAGCACAGAAGTCTTTCTTTCCCCACGCCCTCATCAATAAAGTCATTGAATTAAAACACCCAGCTTTCTTCAGAAAAATGTTTCACCAGAAAATGTTCACTGACCCGCTTTCACCACAGTGCTCCTCCTGCTTTGGACCACCAGGAATTGGGCTGGCCTCAGTAATGAGGGAGAACCTTTGATTTCACACCTTACTGCAAAGCTCAGACACAACTCCTCTTTAATTTCCCAGTCACTTATGCTCACTCAATTAATATTCCCCTATTAAGATGCATCACGCACTAGTGCACTTCTTAGATCTTTGTCTTTTATCTTCTCACAGTTTCTGCTAAAGTAGA